TATCTCCTTGTTTCACTAGTAAAGTCCATGTCACCCACTAGTAGACATTTATACCTTGAACTATCCCGTTCTTTTCTTTTTCGACTCCCAAGATTATGTTTTCTAACCATAATGTTTATTTCTATATACATTTTACCATGTATATCATTCACATAATCACATAACACGTAATCATGTAACAAAATGTAAGCACATAAGATGAAATATACAATGCATGTAATGGTCTAAATCTAATGCCCATCAGCCCTAGATAATTCGTATACCTATGCTTTGATACCAAGCTGTGACGCCCCTGAAACCGGGGGTCCCGTTGACCTCCCGTCAACCTGCAAAAATACCCGTGATTGTCGCATAACTCGACATCACGTCTATCACATCCCTGTAACCGGGATTACAACCCATGCATGAATCCATGTTTCCTTTATTCATTTAATCTCATTGAGATTCAACATACCCCAATATATCTCATTTAAAGTCCATTTGAGTCATTGGAACCAAAGAACACATAGCCCAAAAACATGGTAATGCATTCTTAAAATTTTAGATTTTTGAAAAACCTTCTGAAAGGTTTTGCTCACTGGAAAAGTTCTTCCAAAAGGTTTTATAGACCTTCCAGAAGGTTTTGTCTACTGGAATTTAATTTACACTAACCTTGCGGAAGGTTTTCTTCAACCTTCCGGAAGGTTTTGCCTGCTGGACCAAAAGTCTGCATTAACCTTCCGGAAAGTTGTTGTGACCTCCGGAAGGTTTTTCCCAGAATTTTATGCCTCTTCAGTTTCTCATTTCCAATTCATTCAAAACCTTTCCAAAACCATTTCAAACATGTATAATAACATTTTCTACATTATACATGATTCATACAAGTTTTATTACAAGCATTTGCATATTTTTTTAATGTTAAAACATTGTTTCAACAAAGATTACACAAAATATGCCACCAAAGCCACTAGTCGGCTCTTCTTCCTTATTGAGGCCCCGAATGCGAGTCCTCTCCCGGTACGAATCTTGCACCTAAAATGTTTCCCGTATAGGGTGAGTCAACGCCCAGTAGAAAATTTTCTACAGAGGCTACTCTCCAACCTAAGTGCATATGCAATGTTCATATACAACATTCAACAAATATTCATTACAATGCAAGAATATTCAATTCATGTTGGAATCTATCATGTCATACCATGAAATGAGATGAGACTTACTTACGCACATCACCCATGCCTTCACCGGCTCTCTCCACACTATGCAATGCAAGTGTAAAAATCCTTGTCACTGATCAAATATATCTAATGATCATCTTTGAAGATAAAAATCAAGTGTTTTTAAAACCAATTAATTTCTGGATGTTTCATATCAAATGAATCATTTATCCAATCAAAACCATGTGTTTATAAAACTAATTTATTTCTGGATGTTTTCCCAACAAATGAATATTTTATTTAATCAAAATCATGTGTCTTTATTTGGGTAGTGGACTTTTGGTGTTGTACCACCGGCTGCACACACCGATACACTTTTTTGGACTTACACCGTCGGAAATGTATAAACCAATAGCCGAGTTTTGCACCCGAGGGAGGATCTATCCATTTTTGCTATACTCGACACAAGCTTTCATGTATGCAACCATGCGATTCAGTAGGATATGCAACCTCACTTTCCCGAGCCCACCCATCAAAACACCAAATAAGGTAATTAATCCAACCATGTACTCACACATCCATACCCATGGTCATGGATGCATTTTCTCGTGCAAAATGCAATATGATGCACCATTGCAATACCGATGACATGCTCAAATGTAATGTATGTCAAATGAGTTATTTAACCAATCTCAACACATAACATGACAATTAATATCAATTGCATATAATCACCACCAATCAACATGAGGATAGCATATTAACAACATATTTTTACTCATGTTTTATCAACAAAACTCATGGCATGTTATACAACTCATACCATAACAACTAAATTCCACATAGGCATTTAGCTAGACACCTCCCAAGCAAATAATTCATGTTATCACATAAATTAATTCAAATCATTCATAAGGTACAATGACAACATTTATCAAATTACCACAATTTCACAAGTGAATCCTCTATACCAAAAGTAACTAGGAACTTGGCTAAGCCAATTCCATGTCCCTTTGTCCACATATCCATAACCCTAGTTAAGAACCTAGGTCAATGTTTTCCCCTTGCCCATTTCATATGCCATCTAGGAAGAAAATAAACCAAGGTAAAAAAAATCCTACCTCTTGAAGCGTAAAATGAAGAATAGAAGCTTTAAGAACAACCAAATCATTGATTTCCCAAAATCACATCCTTGGATCTTTGGTGAAATCTCTCGTTCTTGGTACGTACACGTAGCACTCGTTGCATAGACCAACTTTAATTCTTGGATTAAGCAATTCCGACCGACGGAACTTCTTGAAACGAAAAAGAAAGCCTTAAAGAAATAATTTCTCTCCTCTCTCCCTTCAACGTCTGAACACAGCCGGCCAAGTGGTGAGAAATATATGATATTTCAGATATTTAGCTCCTATTTATACTTTTAATTGCGCGATCCACATTGTCCTGCTCGTTTATCATTTTCGGGTCCGTTTTTAATCCAAAACGACTTAATTAAATTTTGATTTTAGTTCAAATCAATTTTATTTGAACTTTTATTCAATTATAAGAAAATTTTATAATTTTCATTTTTGGGGACCTTTAAAAGTTCATTCGTCACCCAATCGTCTCGAAAAATATATAAAATCCGACTATGTCGAAATTTGACGAAATTTGACATAACAACTCAATTTCGCAATATGAATCTAATGGTGAAGTCCGTTGCTTCATCCGAGCTCTATAGAATATGCATTTTAATTCTGCATAATAGTAATAAATTACTATTCTACCTTTTGTTGGAAAAAATTTAAATTTCCCCGAGTTTCACATATAGGGGTGTCATTGAACAGATAACACAATCGGTAATCTCAAAGTTATACAATTTTATATGGGTGTAGAGTAAATTTTTCTATAATATATTTTTAGATTTTTTAGAATGTTCAAGTTCTTGAGTAAATCAACCTTTTTTGCTAAAAAGTTTGTGGAGTGTACAAACTATATGAATGATTTGGTCAAAAATGTCTTCTTTGCTCTTGACCAATCTGTTTATTTTGATAACTTAATAACCGCTTAAACATTTCATTTGTTTTTAGGGTCATGAAAACTATGTAAGCTCGAAATATACACAATCATTAAAAAATTGAGCATATTGGCTCAATTTAAAAATTTCTCATGTCACTTGGACTGAGAATTTTTCTCGAAAATTTAGAGAAGACAGTAAAGAAACAATCACTTAAAGTAATAAAATAAACATAGAACAAAATGACATAAAAATGGGAAAAAAATGAAACTTTTTTTTCCCAGAAGGTAAAATTTGTATTGATCCAAAAAATAATTTACAAGAAAAAAGTGAAACTTAAGGGGCCGCTAGTTCTTAAATCTAATGAAAATGAATGAACAATTTAAAAAAAAAAAATTAAATTTTTTGAACGATTAGTTCTATGTTCTATATTACAAGTCATAGAATATTCATCCACAAGTTAAAAAAAAAAAAAAAAAGGACAATGATTTCACAATTACAAATCGAAGGATTTTGGCATTCCACCAACCAAAATAGGCGAAATACATAAAAAGCTAAAATGGGTTATGAAATATGGGTAGAAAGTATAAATTTATGTTAACTCTTGACGGAGTCGCTAACTTTTTTAAAATAAATCATGAAAGTGTAATTCAATGGTTTTAATAAATTTTTAACGTAGGCCAATATTTTTTTCCATAATTTTTTGATAATTAATGTTTTTTCTTGGATTAAAGCGGGATGAAAAGGTTGAAGGACAGAGAGAAACTATTTTCGTCTTTTATATGGGTAGGTTAAGTCTATAGTAACAATGATCTTCATATTTTTATTTTTTCCAAAAATTCAGACCCGATTTGCATGAGAATAACTCAAAAATATGTAAATGGTGTTTTTTGATAATACCCCGATTTTTTCTAAATTTTTGGAAAAAAAAAATCGAGGGACAAATGAAACACGATTTCACTACTTTCTTGTATCTAGAAATAGAAAACTTATTTTTGAGATATAAATCACACATGTCCTAAGATTTCTAGAACTTTTGCCTAAGTTCATTTGATTAGTAAGAAAAAGATAATTGAAAATGAAAGAGATAGAAAGTTAAGTGAAATAAAATATATTTTCATGTACGTATTTAATTAGTATGAAAAACTTTCAATAAAATTTTAAAACAATTTCATTCCATTGTTCGAAAAAAATGAAAGTTTTAAGAAAAATTTTATAATTGTTTAAATTATTCTTAATTATTTTAACTTGGTCTAAAGAAGAAAAAAATATGTTTTATTATTTAAATTTTTAAAAAATTAACTCTTAACCTAATTCAAGAATAAGGATCGACTAGAACCTTAGTCTCTAGACCAAATTATATGATTAACTTAATTTGTACAAAGTTTTTAAAAATTAATAACTAATTAAATATTTTAAAAAAAATAAGAATAAAATAGGAAGTTATGTTATTGAACACAACTTTCTTGCTTTTCTTTGTGTTTTTTATAAGGAAAAAAAGTTAGCTAAATGCGAGAAAATCTAAGTATGAAAAAAAAAATATTTTTTTATAATTTTCTATTTTATGCTAAATAAATACATATAAATTTTTGAAATATTTTTATTATTTTTTTATTTTTTAACATTACCTTACAAAACAAACGGGCCTTAAAGAACCGCAACATTACCGCGGTGACATTTATTTTCAGTAAAAAGCAGACGAACGCTGGTCAACCGACATTAGTCCTATTACTCTGACATACGACGCCGTTTATCCTAGCACAAGTATTTAGAAACTTGCTTCTTACTGAAGCTATTTCCAGTCTCTCATCGCAGAGAGAGAGAAGGTTTAGGGTTTCTTCGTTCGCACCCCCGTTTATCAACCACCGGCGATGGCGATGCAGGCTGGCATGGGCGTTTCTAAGATCCTCATCTTAGTCGGAGCAGGTAATTCTATGTTATATTCATATATCAAAAAACAGATTTAATTGATTTGCTCTTCAAATTGGATCTGTATATACATGGGTATGTATTGGTGCAGGGTATACTAGTACGATCCTGATCAAGAACGGTAAATTATCTGACATATTGGGCGAACTTCAGGTACTTAAAACTTTAGCTCGATTTCACTATATATATATACTCACACAGACACACACACACACACGTTTTATGTAATTGAATGTTTTGAGGCTCTGTGTATATTTGATTTTGCATTGTGTTGGGGGCAGAAATTGGTGAAAGGTTATGAACCACAAGGAGATGAATCCAAAGGCGACTCCGACTATTCTGATGCCATCGCACAACAGGTATATTGTTTGACGATTAAGCCGAAGCTTTCCTGAATATCTTAAGTCGATCACTGTCCTCTTCGTATTTTAGAATTTTAGCTGAGTAGCTATGACCCCTGTAGGGTCGGTGAAAGCATCTGAGGGATCCTTTGTAGTATTGGCCTTTGGTTGCTTACTGCTGCTTTATGTGTTGTTCTTTTTATGTATTATTTTTTGCTGGTAATTGGGTTCTGTTTGAAATACCGGGGAAGTAGTAATGTTATTTTATTCGAGATGTCAAGGAAGAATGGAGAATTTTGAAGGTATAAGGGATTATTTATTTTTCATTACTTTTTTTTTCCTTTTGGTCAAATACAATTTGCTTGGGCTGTTGTTGAGCATGATAATGTGTGCTGAACTGTGGGAGCAGTTACCTTGCTCAAATATGCAAAAACATTAGGTCTATATCCCCTCTATCCCCAATCCCAGCACCCTTAGTAATGCACTGGCGAGTAATGTGACCACCCCTTTCTTCCAAGAACAGGAAGTGGGCGGGAAAGAAACATTTTGGTGCAATCAATATTGGGGAAAACTTGCTCAGGCGCACCCCTAGGATCGAGACAAGGTGAGTGCACCTAAATCGTTTTAGGACTTCGTCGAGGTACATGAGGCATGCGTTTTTTTTTCTAATTACTGATACATGTTGGCAAATTGATCTACCGACTTCATTTAGAATATATGTTCAACACCAGATTAGAGCTCCAAGTGTAAATTTTAGATTCTATTCCTAACCTCCAGATGTGAATTTCACATTCATCATTCTCTCTCTCATCCTTCTCTATCTATCTATATTTTCCCTTTCTTTTATGTTTTTGTGAAATTTGCTCCTAATTTCCTGAAATCATTGTCTATTTTTAAAATGGTAAACCTCTTATCAGGTTCAGTTAGCTTTTAATAGTGTTAAATTAATATTTGGTTTTAAGAAATGAGTTGTAATTGTATTGGCTTGAATTGTTAAAATGTGGTGCATTTAATTGTTTTTATGATTTTACATATTATCTACAAGTTGCGCTTTTGTGTATAAAGCCCACACCTCTCGCTTAGACCCAAGAAAATCTTGATGTCTTGGTGTGCCTTTGCCTTAAATAACACTTGGTGCGATTATCTTGATGCGTTTTTTTAAAGACTGTAATAATTGGACTGCACTATGTGAGGCTAAATCTCAAGTTGAATTGCTTTGTTGTATGTTTTGTTTTGTTTTTAGGTTGTACTTTTTAAGTTCTTGTCCTAATTTAACTCTCCATTCAAATTGTTTATTAATAAAATAGACAATTGCTTATAAAGCATTATAATGGCCTGTACTATGGAAATGTTGAGAGAAGGTTTTACTTAGTTCTTCTAAATCCTTGGCACCTCAACTACCGGAAACACCATAAAAAAAGAAGAATTTTTAAGTAGCATATAGTAGACTAATACAAATATATGTTTATAGATTCTTGAATATGGGAGCTATTAAGGTGTGGCATGTCACACTAAATGGAATCAAGTAGGCTTTGAAGGTAGGGGAGGAAGGAGAGGAGAGAGAAGGGCAAGACTAGATGATTTTATGGGTTAGATTGAAATAGAGACATTTTTGTGATGGCACGGGAGTTTATAGGAAAATGCTGCATATGTTTGGGGGCACATATGATGGAAGCAAATTTAATGATGACAAGTATCCAATGTGTTGTCCTACATAGACAATGAGTCAGTAGCACGTGTCATTGTAATCGCTTTCCGATTCTCTCCTCTGCTTATATGTTGCTGGCCAAAGTTTGATGCATGTTGTGTGGATCCTTAATATGATGGGACATCTGTGGCAAGCCCGAGATACGTGCTTGGCAGAGTACGACATGGCAGCTTCCTCGTGTTAAGACTCTCTTTTTGCCCTCCGAACCATAACCTTCTTGGAAGCTTCCATTGTGACATATCAAGTGTGATTGCCTGAGTGGTGACTTCATTGTAGATATTTTATATTCGTTACCCACAATTGTTGATTGAGCCTTTGGAGAAATGTGATTGAGTGTTGCTTGTGGACCTTACGTATGAAATCAATTTGTTGACAGCTTTTGCCCAAACACTTCTTCTTAGTTATAGTGGGTGCATGGAGTTACATAAAGCAGAAATAGTATGTACTAATGTAGTTCTGGTAATTTGCAGATGGTATAAAGCACATATGTCATAAACATTCACAGTTGTAGACTGCTTTGTCTGTTGGGAAAATGCTTATAATAAATCTTCTGTTTATGAGGGTGATAGAACTAGTGTTCGGGGCATTTAAGTGTGGTTTTGTCACATAGCACGTTTCATTCTTAGTGAGTTATAGAATTTATTGTCTTTATTTTTTGTTGATTGTCTTATAGGTTCGTCGGCTAGCGATGGAAGTCAAACAATTGGCCTCAGCACGACAGATAACTGTTCTGAATGGAAATTCTAGTGGTATCTCCTACTTCTACTCACAGTTGCTTAAAATTCTTTATTTTTGCTTCCTTATCGCCTAAGCATATTATTGCTCATTGTTGTCCCATGCTTCAAACTTCAGAGGATTTAATTCTACGTGGAATGACTTTACATTTGCCATTGGATTTTACATCATCTCTCTCTCTCTTGCCAGGTAACATGACGTCTCTCATAGTACCAGCTGCTGCTGTGGGGGCCTTGGGTTATGGATACATGTGGTGGAAGGTGGAATAATATGTTCCCTTATGTTTTTCATTTTTATTGCTCCTGAAAGTGTTTGTTTTGATTGTTTTATTTCACTAATTTTATGGTTAACATGTTCATTATTTAAACTATGGCTTTGCTATGAGTAGTTGACGTTTCTGTCCTTTTTCTAAGACTAATTTGCAGTCTTTGGAAAGACTAATTTTTCCTTATTCTTTTCTTTACCCCATCTTTTTTGAATTCGTAGGGTCTGTCGTTCTCAGATCTTATGTATGTGACAAAGCGTAGTATGGCAAATGCTGTTTCAAACTTGACAAAACATTTGGAGCATGTATCCGAGGCGCTTGCTGTAAGTTGGTGTTTTCCAACTACTTGTTTGCTGTTATTATCCTCAAGCCGATTTGCATCAACTATAACTAGTACTGTACCTATTTTGACATTTTTACATCTAATTGTATAATAATCCCCAATGAGTCACATGCGTCTTCCTCCCTTAAATTTTAAGCACACCAGGGATCTACTGTTATTGTGTTATTAATGGTGAAAGAGAAATTAGTTTCACGTCCAATAGAACTTCTACTCTATTTCAGCATTAAACGAGAATCACCGTATTTATTTTTCACCTTTTAATTCCTCATTGTTGGAAAATGAGCAGCATCTTGTATGCCAGAGGCTGCCTCTACCTCTTTATCATGCTTTTTAAAGTTCATCACAACAGGCCATCTTAATTTTGCAAGAGGTTGTAATTTATATAAACAGGCTTGTCTCCTTAAGAAGTTCACAGCCTCCTCCTTCCCTCAACACCCCCCCCCCCCCTCTTTCTCCCCAAAAAAAATTCCAATAGAATATGGCTCTGTTTAAGCATTAGATCAGAACGATAGAGAAATTTTTTTCACATATGAAACCCTTTTGTGTGGAAATTTAGGTCACATATTATGGCCAGACATCACCTTTTTCTCATGTTCTGTAGTGATTGTTAGAATGATTTCAGAACAATCCGAGGTGGTTGCTGTAAGTTTCTGTTCTCCAATCGCATGTTGTTTGTAACTATTCCCAACCGAGGTATTTCTTCAGTCATAGCTGTGCATATGAAGAGGATCCGATAACAAAGAAAATATATATCAACTTTAACTAATAGCTATCCCGACCTTATTAATTCCCATTGTATCATGATCCCTATGAATGATACATTTTGTCTCTCTTCTCCCGTCGATTTGAACCACACAAGGTTACCTGTTATTCCATTACTCATGAACATATATTCTCATGTCCAATATAATTTTTTTCTCTGTTTCAGCATTAAATTAGAGCCCTTATGATTCATTTTTTCATGTTTTGTATTGATTGTGTTTGAATGAGGTCAGTACAGTTTGTCTTGTCTGACCATCGGTTGAGCTCAAGTTCCTTGAGCTTATCATTAACATAAGCAAGCTTGTTACCTTAGGAAGTAAACAGCCTTCACCCCTCTAAACCAAAAACAGACCTTAGTCAATGATGTCCCGTATTTCACCCTTGCTGATATGAATAGATGGTCCTATTTCTGTTGTAGGTCATGTATATTTCTTGAAATTATTGGAGGTCACATTCAGATTTATCTGCTGGAAGGAGAGCTATGAGCTCGAACACATTGTCAACCCATCTTCTGTTAGCTTCATTTGGGAAAGTGTGGAAGCATCAGAGTAGATCATTGTATTGACATCTGCTAAAAAATATTCAAAAATCATTTCTTAAGTAAATTCTGCAAATATTTGGCCGTAAATCTTGTTTTGGATAATATAAATAATTCGGATATGCCCAGTCCAGATTGAGGCTCCTTGAACATCATTGTGGTACTAAA